ACATCTCTGATTTCACAAGATATGATGACGACCATGACCCCGAACACGGTGAAGAAGAAGTTTTACAAACATCCATTAAGACAGGAAAGGTTTTAACTCAAAGTCTCATTATTGACACCAAAGATGGCGAAGTGGACGTTCTTCAAGAGCTGAAGAAAAATACTTCTTTGGGAGGTGGTGGTAGGTATGAACTTGAAATAAATGAGATAGAAGAGAAATTAGCCGAAAAAGCAGATAAAAACCATGTTCATTATATAAGTTCAGACGAACAGATTATAACGGACTACCATGGATATTTAACACAGGATGAACAAATAAGCACTGAAGATGTTAATGAAAGAAGATATAAATTCATTCGTGCTAAAGGTTATGACATACACTGTACTGTACAGTATGACACAGGTAAAGCACCAGAAGCATTTGGTTATAACAATGAAATTTATGCTTCATACTTCTTTGTTAACGGTGTATTAGTTGAACCAAGATTTACATTGAGAGTTAAGGCAAAAATAACTTTTGAAGATGCTATTAAAAGTAAAGCTGACAAAGATGAACTTGACGCAACGAACAAAGTTTTGAAATCTCATAAACACAATATCTCCGATATAAATGAACTTCAAGCTACATTAAATAGTAAAGCTGACAAGAACCATACACATGAATCCTTCACTACTGTTAGAGCAGACGACATAATATTGAACTATACCCTTGGTTCAAGTGCACCTTTAGAGAATCCAAGTACAAGCGTAAAAGATACACTAAACTCCTTAAATAACAAATGCACTAATATTGAAGGACATGTCAGAAACTTTGAAACACATGAACTACCAGCAATGTTAGATAAGAAAGCAGATAAAGAACATACACATAACTCCTTCTCAACTGTTGCTATAGAAAGTATTGAAGGAACGGTTGGCGGAACTGGTGGGGATGCATTATATTATAAACCTCCTAACTTTCCACAAGGTTTAACATCGAATGAAAACATAACAACGAAGAAAGACATTAGCTGTAAAAATGTTTATGTCATGGATGATGAAAATAATGTTAAATTCACTGCTCAAGATTTATATGATAAGAAAGCTGACAAAACAGAGCTTCAAACATTAAAGACTGAAATACTTCAAACATTATATCCTGTTAGTTCTTTATATACATCAATGAATTCAACAAATCCAGCAACAGTTCTGGGTTTTGGTACATGGCAGCAGATTGTAGACAAATTCTTATACTGTGCTAACTCTTCAAAGCAAACAGGAGGCTCAAAGAAAATTAAAGAAGCAAACTTACCTGCGCACACTCATACAGGAACGACAAACTTTTCTGGCGACCATAGCCACTCATTAAGAGACCACCCATTATACAACTCAGACTATAAAGCTGGCAATGACGTTTTATCTCCATCTTATAACAATTCAGCAAAAAAGACTTTTCGACCAACTGAACCAGGAGGAAATCATGTCCATACTTTCACAACAAATCCAACAGGCTCGGGTGCAGATTATATGCCACCATTTATGACTATATTCGCATGGTACCGCGTTCAATGAACGCGCTTGAGCCTAGACCCTTTGGGTCAAGGCTTACCGTCTTGAATAAAATCTTTAACTTTACATAAATGAGCTTGAAAGAAGTATTCGAACAACATCCATGGAGGTCATTTAAGAAGTTCAATGAAGCTGCAAAGAGTTGGGGATTTACTAACAGAGCTGAAGTGAAAAGGTTCTTTGACAAAAATGTTGTACATCAAACAAAAATAAACCCTTACGACTACTTTTTACCAATTTACTCCAACACTCCTGACGCATACCAATTTGACACTCTCGTTCAGAGTAAGAAAGGAAGAAAGCCACCATTCCTCATCTTCATTAATGTTAACACTCGCAAAGCATATGCATATCCAATGAAAAATAAAGGAACTCGTGAAGTGTTAAGAGTTTTACAAAAGTTTGTAGCAGAACATAGCCCAAGTACTTTAACATCAGACCAAGACAGTGCATACCTCAGTAATGAAATCACAGATTTTCTCATTAAGCATAATATAACTCACTACACTACTGAAGACCATAACCATAACATACTCGGCATCATAAACCGCTTCATAAGAACGCTCAGAGATTTAAACCAAGAGCGAGACTTTACCGAAGAAACAATGAAACATTTTCTCGAAGTATATAATTCCTCAACACAGTCTACAACAGGACATACACCAAATTCAATGACACAACAACAAGAAGAAAAGTATATACAAAAGAAACGAAGTCAAACACAAAATATCAGAAATTCAACACAATTTACCCTCATTCCTGGTACAAAAGTTCGTGCAGTTCTTGACGACAAACCGTTGACAAAGAAACGTTTAAGGTTAAGTAGAAACTATTATATCGTAGACTCTACGCAAGGTAATGGATATCTTATAAAAGCTGCCGACGACTCTATTGCGTTTTATCCTCGTCATAAATTAGTTGAAAGTAGTAATGGCAAACTTGTTGAAACCATTGACGAAGCAAAGCGAGGAGTGGTTATTGAAATACTTGGCTATAACATAAACGATGACACTTATAAAGTAAGATATGAAGGAGGCGTTGAAGATGTTATACCATCTAAGAACTTGAGAGAGTCGAAGCCAACACATCTGGGACCATTAGAGCGGGAGTACTGGAAAGACAAAAATATGCCAGAAAGAATAAGAAAATTCTTCTAAACTTTTTCATTAGATGTAAATCAGACAAAAATAATGTTTAGGTGAAGAGGTGAGATTTCACCTCTTTTTTCACCTGTTTTTTCACCCTCGTGAATTTTCATGAATTTCCTTAAGATAGAAAAAATAAAGTTAGTTTTATTTTTTTATTTATTTTTTATTTTGTATAAAAGATATGATTTCAACAATCGGTACAACAACAATTCAAGCTGCGAACGGCGGGACTCTGTCCACAACTACAGCCCATCGTTTAGATGAATCCTTGTCAATGTTGATAGAGATGAAAAGCTTTATTCCTTCTTCATATACTTTTGAAACAGAAATCCAGAAGATAAAGCAAGAACTTTTAACAAGTAATTTAGACTGTAGTGCGAAAGATGAAACAAATGAACAGTATCTTTATGAAATGGAGGACCTCATCGACCATTTGCCTAAACTACCTGAAATTCAGCAGCAAAAACTAACTATTCCTGAATTCGACGAAATTGAAGTCAAAGCAACTGACTCAGTAGAAATTAAGAAATTCATACGTAAAGTAAATTATGAATTCCTTGGTTTTCATTGCAACCATAAAGTTATGGACAAAGATTGCGACATGGTTTATAAAAATATTTCTGACCTTTACAAATCCGAAGAATTTAAGACATACGATAACTTTGTTTCATTAGTTGCAAAATGTGTTTGGGAAATAAGAGATAAAGATAGAAGAGGCAAAGTATGGAACGAACAAATAAGACCCGCTATGTTTGAGATGAAGAGAGCAATTGACGCTTTAGTTGTTTTAGCTGGTAATGTTTCAATGTATAACGCAAAAACGATGCCGCGATGTTCAAAATGTAAAGCAGCAATAAGAAAATATAACTACTCAGTCAAAGAGATAGAAAGAATGCGAAACGACTATGCAGACTTAAAGAAAGAAGTAGAAAAGCCAGCAGAAGATAAAATGGATATGTTGACATTTCTTAATAAAAACCATCCAACAGCAGAAGATTTCCTTCTGTCTGACGTCAAGAAGAAATATAAAGAGACTTTCGGCATGATTAAAACATTCAATTTACTAAAAGAAGAAATAGAAGCTACGAAATTGTTTAGGATTTCAAATATACATCGTACAATTCATGTAAAACGCTTGTGAAAAAAGAGGTGAAAAACAGGTGAAAAAAGAGGTGAAATCTCACCTCTTCACCTAAACATTATTTTTATTGAATTCAGCACAAAAATAATGAATTTCATTAGTTAGAAAAATAACGCTAATTTTTTCTAAGAAAAATTTTTATTTTGTATGTAAAGACAGTAATGACAAACATTGAGTTTGAAACAGTTAGAAAGATAGACAATGACACCAAAGTGGTTAGAATAGGTGATTTAAACGTAAGATACTCAAAGAAATACAACAAATATTCTTTGTCAGACATTATATCTCCACCTGAAAAGAAAACAAACGACTGGGTTAGAAATGCTTCAACTCAGAAAATTTTGACAAGAAATCCTGAGCTTATGATATCAGTAGCATTTCATGGAACAAGAGCATATCTTATAGACAAAAGTCTTATACCAATAGTTTTGTTATGGTTAGACCCAGTTGTTGGATATAACTTCATAACTTATGGTTCATTCGACTCAGAACGTTGCAGTGAAGGCTTACTTTATATCGTTCAGAAACCGAAGGACTTCAACACAAAAAGATATAAGATAGGAAGGACATATAATATAACTCAAAGATATGACAGTACAGTCAATAGAGTCAAGGTTGTGTTTGTTAATGATATGAGAGCTGCAGAAACAGAACTGCTTGAAAAGTTTGAGAAAATGTATGGTGCTCCCATGAAAGGTAAAGAAACGTTTGAAGTAGATGAGATAGATAAAGCTATAAAATTATTTGACGAAGTTGCTGAAAAATACATGTAAAGCGTTTATTTTTGGTCTTTTGTGAAAGTCAGAAAATAACGCTAATTTTTTTCTAACAAAATTTTTTATCTTGTATGTAAGAACAGCAATGACAACATCAGTTATCGTTCATGAAGCCATTAATGAAGAATATGAATACATACAGTATAACAAACAATTGAGACTCATTCGTTCAGTCAAAGATGACATGTACCAAATGCAGAGTATTTTGACAGCATGTTTTGCTCCAGAGAATAAAACACCAAATGAATGGTTTGAATTAAATAGCACTCATGAACTCCTCTGTGAGTTTGAACATGTAGAACTTAAAAAGATGTACCAAGACAGACAAAACTTACCATCACATCTAAAAGGTATATATGTTCATAAGTTCCTAGTTAGTTCAATAGCAATGTGGGCTTCACCTCGTTATGCAATCTACATACTTATGCTACTTGACGAACTTTGTACAAAGCAGAGAGAAGATATGATGAAAGAAGACAAAAGCATACAGAAAAGAATACCGCGTTCAGTACCAAAAGGAAAGGAAAAGAGTTATAAGTATATGATTTATACTGAAGAGTTGGAGAAAGAAGAAGACAGAGATATGGTTATGTTGCATTTAGTGAGAAGAAATAACAAGAGCTTTTATGACTTAGCTAAGATATATAAATCTGACAGAAACTGGTTCTATCGTGAAAACTTACCGATTTCAATGACACCGAATGAGCAAATAAAGGAAATTGTCAAAAATACTCTTCCTCAAACACACTATGACATCAAAGGTTGCACAATACTTACATTCAAAGAAGACTTAACATTACTGAAGGAAAAAATAACAGAATATTTCGACAACTTCAAAGAGGAAGAATAAAAATCTAAGCTATATTTTTTTTATAAAATTTTATCTCATATGAAAGAACATGAATTTAGAATATTCGGAACTCATGACAGAAGAAGAGAACGAACAACATGTAAAAGATTATGCAAAATTTCTGAAGACATACAAAGCATTTAAACAATATCTAAATGCTTCTAAAGATTATGCAAAATTTCTGAAGGTATATAAAGCTTATGAAAAAGCGTATGAAAAGTTTATACATTGGGGAATGTTGTAAAATATCCATATGAAGACTAACCAAAAATATATTTTTGCTTAAATAGCTTCAGGGTCTATTTCTTCAACCATTTCACTTCCTTCGTCAATGTCAATAGAAGCTTCTTCAACCTTTGGTAAGAATTTCTGTATAACATCTTTGTTCGTTATTGTCTTCAGAGATGAAGGATAATATTTCACAGATGTTTCACCCTTCTTATATTCTTTCTGTTCGGAAAGATTTAAAGCAATACTGAAGAAGTTCAACGTTAGAGTTCTTTATGACAGTATAATGAGTATCTTTGACATTCACGAAGAAACTCTTTTGTTTCAAAACTACTGCTAACTCTTGTGAAGTATAACGTTTGCGGTCAATGACGATAGCTAATGGTCTGACATACTGACCAAACTTAGATTCTTTCACAAACTTCTTGTTAAAGATAACATTAACATTTGAAGCATTATTGAACTCATTCTTGATGGCAGTAGCGAGAGCATTGTATGAAAAGAACTTGCAATCTTGCATGTGTTTCATTAAAATAAAAATATTAAATTATTTTGAAAAATAACTTAAAAAAATCTAATCTAATTTTTTCAAAAAATATTTTTTTATTTCCTACTAAAGATGTATCGGAAGTTGTCTAAGTTAGAACACTCGGAAATAAAACAACTTCTTACAGAAGCTAATATAGATGTTGCAAAGCATTACGCAACAAACAAAAAAGCACTCGCTGACATCCTCAATGACTATAATGGTGCAATAAGTTATGATAGAATTCATGAGTTCATAAAGCCGCAACGCGGCGAGGACGAAGTCCATGCAAGAGCATTTCCTTTAAATGACGTTGCTATTGACTTATATCATAGACGTTCAGTACCTCATGAAGTAAGAAGAGAAATGTTTGACATAACAAATGCAAACGTTGGTGAAACAAGAAGAAGAGACGACACACTGAAACAACAGAGAAGAGAGATGTTTAAGAGCGCTATAGAACAAGTTCGCAAAGCTAACGATGTCCTTCGTTCCATTGACGACAAACCAAAAGAAGGTGAGAGATGGTTAAAGAAAGATGAAGAGAATAGGAAGAGGAATGTTAAGACAGGCAATAGACTCATTGACTTTAACATCGAAGCTTTAGATGAACCAAACAGAGACTACTTACACAAACATTTCGGTAAGGTTTTCATGAGACTCTTAGAGAAGATTAAAATAAACTCCCAACAAAGATGGATGGTATGTTATAAACTTGGTGGAAAGTATGAATGTTCTACGTTAAACCTCAATAATATTGGAACATTACTACATCAGCTCTTGAAGGAGAACTTTATATCAGAGATAGAAGCAAATGCTGCAGGTATTGTTGAAATGCACTATGACTTCTTCTTGACAAACATAAAGAATCTTACTGAAATAAAGATGTATGATTTAACAGAATATGAAGGCTTAACGATGTCAGATGTAAAGAAAGGCAAACCAAAAAAGAGACCATATAGAGATGAGAGCACACTGACAAATGACCAGAAAGCCATTTTGGAAGCTCTTAAGCAAACAGGAAACCCAGCACTTATAGAAAGCTTTTGGAAAGATAATGGTGAAAAGAAGTTTTATAAGAAGAGAAGCGGTCAGTTCTGGAAGTATCTTTGCACATTACCTATAAATCTTGAACGCTACCAAATCTTCAATGAACTGAACAAAAGAACTGCAACACTTATGACAGAAGATAACTGCTTCGTTTATGCTTGCATTCAGGCTGGAGTAAATGAAGAAACTATTGACCACATGAGAGAAGTCATTCGTGTTAGAGACTTTCCTCAAAGTAAAGTACAAGAAATTTCTGACGCAACAGGTATAGCATTTAATGTTACCATTGGTTACTTCAATGACTCAAGACATAATGAAATAAAGAGATACATACCAAAAGAATGTGAAACTGTTCGAACTATTGACTTACTTCTTGTTGAAGACCACTACATGCTAAATGAAAGATTACCAATGACAACATATTTCATTCGCAACTATATAGAAATCTTGAAGGAGTGTGGTGGAATGAACATTGAGAAACAGATGAAGATTTATACAAAGAGAGAGAACAAATATGTAGTTCGTTATGATAGAACAACACCGTTATGGGATGTTATGAAAACATTGTGGGAGTGCAAATATTTCGAACCTATTTCTTATGGAGAACTTTTCACATATACGACTGACTTATATAAACAGAACCTTGCACCATTTAAAGATTTGACATATGCTCCAAAGTATTGTGTACAACTGAAGAAGAAAGCCGAGTCAAAAGAAGTAAATAAAAATAAGGCAAGTTCATTCCTGAGCACGTTTTCTTTGCTGACTTTGAGTGCAGTACTGATGGCTTTCATAAAGCTTTTAACATATGTTATGACAGTGAAGATGGTTCAGTGAGTGAAAGCATTTGGGGTCAGAACTGTGCAACAGAATTTTTTGGAGCGACTTCCTGACAAGAGTTTAATATATTTCCATAACCTCAGTTATGACATAAACTTCATCTTAAGACACATGACAGAAGTGAAAGGAACTCCCATCATTAAAGGTTCACGAACAATGCATAACGGAATATATAAAGGAAGCAATCATTATTAAAGATTCATACACTGTTATAAATAAGAAGCTTAAACTATTTCCTGAAATGTTTAACTTACAAACAGGACCGAAAGAAGTATTTCCATACAACTACTACAGCAGTGTTTTGTTAGCAAATGACAACAGAACTGGTGTCATTTCTGAAGCGTGTAAGTTTATCCAGGATGCGGATACATTCATGAAAAACATAGATTCCATCAAAGGTTGCAGAATAGATGAAAACCACTTCGACTTAGAAAAATATAGCATATTCTATTGCAAACAAGATGTAAGAATTTTAAGAGAAGGTTTTGTTAAGTTCAGAAATGATATATTGAAAGAGTTTGATTTAAACGTTTATGATTACGTTAGCATTTGTTCAATTGCTAACAAATTATTTGAGAACAGAGTGTACTTCCCGAATGGAAATTTATATGACCTCTCAAATAAACCAAGAGAATTTATTTCATGCTGCATTCAAGGTGGAAGATGTATGCTGTCAGATAACATTAAACAAAAGAGCGAAAAGAAACTCATTGCTGACTTCGATGCTGTTTCATTATATCCCTCAGCTATAGCAAGACTTTATACTTTAGAAGGAATTCCAAAGGTTATGAAGAAAGAAATGTTAAGCACAGAGTATCTCATGAGACATTTATTCAATGACGACCAAAAGGAACCCATTGGTGAAAAGTTTATGTCTGGCTTCTTTGTTCTCATTAAGATAACAGAGATTGGAATACATAGACACTTTCCTTTAATAGTTTGTGACCCTGAACTAAATCCAGAACTTAACGTTCCCAGAAGTTCAAACACTTGCTGTTTAATGTATGTTGACCATATAACATTACAAGACCTCATAAAATATCAAGGTGTCAAATGTGAAGTGTTGCAAGGATACTATTACGATGGAAACAGAGATATTAGAATAAGAGATGAAGTAAAGAAGTTGTTTGAGTTAAGGTTAAAGTATAAGAAAGAAGGAAATCCTTTGCAAGAAAATATAAAGCTCATTCTGAACAGTATTTATGGCAAAACTATTCTATCTCCTATTGAGTCAAAAATAACCATAGTAAATGACAAAGATGCTATAAGATATGCCATCAGAAACTACAACCATATAGTGAAGTTCGAAGGTTTGGATGGTTCGGATAAAACTATTTTCAAGCTAACTAAAAGCATTTGCAGACACTTTAACTTCTGTCCACTTGGTGTTAACATTCTGTCTATGTCGAAGAGAATAATGTGTGAAGTATTCTGTACTGCTGAGGACTTAGGAATGGACATCTTTTATAGCGATACGGACAGTATGCATCTCTACAATGAAGATATCCCTCGTTTAGCTGAAGAGTTTGAGAAACGTTATGGAAGAGTTCTCATTGGTAAAAACCTTGGTCAATTTCATAGCGACTTTGCAGAAATCACAAAAGATAAACAAAGTTTAGCATACAAGTCAATATTTTGTGGAAAGAAGACTTACATAGACTTACTCACGAATGATTTAAATGAAGTTGCATTTCATGCACGTTGTAAAGGTGTAAAACAAGACGTTCTTGCTTTAACCGCTAATGAAATGTTTCCTGACTCTGTTCAGTGTTTCTATGATGAAGATAAAGGTTTAATGGTTCCGCAAGGAAAATTTAACAAAGACTCTGAGTTCAGTGTTATGAAGTTATATAAAGTACTTTATGACGGTCAAGAGATTGCATTCGACTTATGTAAGTCTGCTACACCTGCATTTGAAGAGAAGTTTAACTTTTCTATTCAGACTAAGACTTCATTCATAAGAAAGCTTAAGTTCTGAGGTCATGAATGAGAAAAATAATGAGGTCATTTATTTTTGTCAGCAGTGAGACCATTCATGATAAAAATAAGCCGCTAGCGGCAAGGGCGAAGCCCATGTGGTCATTTACAATACTGCGATGGTAGAGTTTAAGAGTTATGCTTCAATATAGAGACAGTCCTTATGGTCTGGAGGTAAGAACACTGGGCAGTTATGGTCATGAGTGGAGAACATGTCTATCCAAAACTCACGATTGAAGCCAGTTAATTTACAGTATTTAGGGTTAGGAAGTGGTGAAGTTCTTGTATGACCAATGAACTCATTTTCAACTCCCTTACTTAAGTTTGAATATAATATAGCTTGCTTTCTATCCCAAATGCCAGGTGTTACAATCTTTGAAAATTCATTTTTCCTCGGAAGCATTGCATCATAATTGAAAACATTCTTGAAATCATCACTTGGTTCAGAGATTTGAAATCTTATACGTAATGGATTTTCTTTCTTTTTAGCTACTTCATTGAATGGTGAATATATAACAAACTGACAGTCATGAGTTCCATCTTCATTTTCATTAAATTCATAATGAAAGTCTATAAGTTGTGGCTGACTACCTTCTTCTTTCAGTTGTGCAAGAAACTCACGTAAAGGCTGTAAAGTTTGTACTTCAATGTTAAACTTTTTCTCGAACATCTCATTAAATGAAATCATACATGGTAGCAATGTTGTATCGTCTTTAAAGTATTTGTATATGTGAATGTTTTGGGCGCTTAAAGACTGTTCGTCATTTTCTATCTCGACTTGAAGTATAAAGTCAACCTTTCTGAAAGCACGTGTTATATACATAGATGTTATGCCAATGTACTTCTCTTCATTTATGTTCACAATCCAGTCTGTTGGAAACTTAAACGTTACTCTGTTCCCCTTTATTTTGACGTCAGGGTTTTCACTACTGAACGCAACAGATAAAGGTATTTGTCTATACATTTAATTCGGATAAAAATAAACCATTTACTCTTTCTTTGCTTCAGCTTCTTTAGCTTTTGCTTCAGCTTCTTCTCTAGATTTTCTCGCCAGTAGTCTTGGGTTCTTTTGTCTTCCAGCAGCTAATGCAGCAAGTTGTTTTTCACTAAGTTTTCTCTTTGGTCTCTCTGGCTTTTGTTCTTGTTTTTGTTCCTTCAGTTCGGATAAAATTTGCTCACGAATTTCTTTCTTCAATGCTTCAACATCTATGACCCCTTGGGTCTTGTCCGTAGGGCTTGTCTGAGTCATTTGACTGCAGATAAAAAACAAAATTAAAACTTTAACCGATGTAAAATGAGCTTGTCAAAATCAGAGCGAGAGTCTATTATATTAAATGACGCAAGAGGAATACAACATCCTTTCTATTACGTAAGTCAGAGTAAAGATGGTAAAATATACGTAAGAAAAAGAAAGGTTCCATTAGCGAATGCAGAAAGCGACAGTATTAAGGTGCATGGCACCGAGGGCGAAGCCCATGTTAAGCCTTCTATTCAAACTGAAAAGTCAATAGAACCAGAAGAAAAGAAGCCAGATGTACTTTCAATAACGAACCAAGAGCTTATTGCAAAGTTCGTGAATTTCATTGAAAAACAAACCGAGTCAAAGAATTCTGACCCGCCAGTGAAAGAAGTTGAGACAAAAGAGAATGTACAGTTCATTGAAAATGTCAAGAAACAACTTCCACCACGAATGCCAAGAAGAAGAGTGAGAATAATGAAGTAAATAGATATTTTTATCTGAAGTAAATACATGCAGAACGAACAGCTAAACGAATTTACTCCAGCAGAGCATATTCATCAGATTCGCTCATATTTCGATATCATAGACAATGCAGTTCAAATTGGTGACACTAATAGAAAATATTCTGACGCAAAGATTCCATCACAACCTGGAACTGCTAAAGATAACACATGGGTAACATTCAATCTCTCACCTCCTGGTGAAAATATGTTGGACCTTTACAATACATTCATTACGTATAAAATGGAAGGTCAATTTATTGTAGATAAAGAAATTGGTTCAGGTTCCAATAAAACAAACCCACCAGGATTTTGGATTGGTTTCGATGACGCTTTCTATGCAGTTGCTGGATATCAAATCCTTGCAAATGGTCGTATCGTATATTCTCAAGACAACGCAAGAGAAGAAGCATATATAACTTCAAACTCACAAACTACCGAACAAATAAAGAAAGTAGATGTTTTCTCAAAGACTCGACATGAAGATGTATGGAGTCATTCGGGAACATGCAGAACAGGACAAATTGTTAGTGGTCCAATTACAGCAGGAAAATCATTTGATTTTAAGCTTCGTTTAAGAATTCCTGTTAGAAGATTCTTTCCATTAGAAGCTATTCGATTTATTCCAGCTTTTGCAGGAAACATTCAGCTTAAAGTAAAGTTCAGTAGCGACGCCTTACAATGCACATCTATATCTGTAAATGATATCATTGCTTTCAATCCAACTCTTAAAGTTGCATTTGCTTCAGATTCAAATCCACCGACAAATAAATTTGTTCCATGGAATGAACCATTCACTATGATAACGAAGGCAGTAGAAGCTAGTGGAACAGTTACTATTACAACTGTAACCCAGCAACTATTCGAACAAAGATGGATTTTAATGAATGTTTCATTCATCCAAAGTCATTCTCTTTAGACCCTAACATTTATACAGAACTTGTAGAGCATTATACAAACGAGGCTTTATGTTTTCCTGTTAAAGTTATGGATTGGATTCCTATGGACGGTTCATTCTCAAAGAATACAGATAGTTCAAGTGCAACATTTACAGCAGCTTATACGCCTATTAATGTTAAAAGTATTTGGGCACTATTTAGAAAGAAAGACAACTATTATGTTAATTTTGAGAACCCTAAGTTTAAATATCTTCAGCTTTCCATGGGAGCTTATGGAAATATGCCTGCAAACCTGAAAAATCATATGGACCTGTATTTTATGAAATGGTTGCGAACGCTTGCAATACAAATAATGATATGATAGGATTTAATGAAGATGTTATGAGGTCATTGGTGGATGATGGTAGTGTGGAACATAAATGGGATAGCTATGACAACACACATTTCTTATGTGGTTTTCCAACAGAAGTGGACTTTTGCTTCCAGCAAGGTCAAACATCTACTGCTCCAATAACATACAAATTGTCTGTTAAAGGACCTATTGAACTAGCAACTGAAAATGTACCAAAGCCACTTATTGGATTTATGAGGGATTGTTGCTTTGCCATTCAGGTGCGTGCTAATGGCATCCCCATAATAAGATTAGATGACTATAACTTAGCTACGGACGACAGTGAGGAATAAAGGATGAACGTTTATTTTTAAAGCTTATAAATGAGTTCTTCATCAAGCTCTCGTGAACCTTCACCATCTATGAAACAAAACTTTACCAAACGATTATGGAGCACCTATTGAATATTTCTTACGAGCTGCACAATGGCAAAGAGCAGTCTCACCAAGGTTAGGTGTTCCACCAGCTCCTGTCAAAAATAGCATTTGGTCAAGTCCTTATATAAGATATGGTCTCCCACTAGGTTTGCTAGCTACAGCAGGAGCAGTTATGATGTTGAAAAGAAATAAAGCAAATGTTGTAAATAATACTGAAGTAGCTGAAGTTAAACAAACTCCAACGCCTTCACAAGCAAAACCAACGCCTTCACAAGCAAAACCAACGCCTTCACAAGCAAAACCTTCAATGACTCCTGAACCTATGGAAGTACAAACTCCTGTTCAAAAGTCAACTCCTAAACCGACTCCAACATTTAAACCAGAACCTACTCCTCAAATAAATCGTAAAACTCCTGCGTTTCCTTACTGAAAAAATAACGTTATTTTTATTTAATATTAAAATTTTTATTTGATTGAAATGACAAATAAAGTCACTGAAGCAATGAAACAAAAGTTTTTGGTAGAATACATTAAATCAGGAACTATTCCAGAAGGTTTTTACATTCATACTATGAAGGATGGTAGAGTTCAGTTTAGAAAGATAAAGCAACCATTAGATAGAGAAGGTATATTAAGGAAGATTAAACTTCATGAGGACAACATTGCTGAACTTAAGAAGAAGTTAGAAGAGTTGGAGAAAGGAAGAGAGTTATAAAGCAATGAATTCAACAGGGTGAAAAACCGGGTGAAAAAAGAGGTGAGATCTCACCACTTCACCTAAATTTATTTTTGTGCTATGTTTTCATACGTGTGAGGGTGGTGATATCATTAATTTTTATATAAATGACGAAAACTATTGAGATAACAAACTACAACGGTCATGAGTTCAAGAATTTGTTCTTCGTTCCTCGTGAAAATACATTCTATCAGATACGAGGGAGAAAGGGTAAAGTTAGTTTGAGCGTTTATGAAGGAATGAAGAATGGAAAGTTTATACAAGCATACGATACAAACGGTAAACGTGTTTCATTAGCTTTGTCAAAACTTACTAACATTTATTTTGACAGTGACTTTGACTCTGACGATTGGAGCGACAGCAGCGATACTGAAGAATATGAAGTATTGTGTGAAGCACAGCAATGGGAGGAGTTGCAATACTTTTGTAAGTGAGAACGTTTATTTTTTACAGTAGTGAAGTCGTTTGTGAAAACGTTAGTGAGGTGAAGTGGTTGGTGGCTTTGTAAATATTTAAGGTTAAGTTAGTGTTGTTGTTTGTGTTGTAAAATATACGTTAACGGTTTCGTAAAGTGTCAAATTCACATATAATGGGTAAGGAGGCGCGCAGTGCCTCCGTACACATGATATGTATACTAACTGTGTGCGCCTATCTCAGATGGGTAACAATTGAGCCAGAATACATTAGCATGGACTGTGCTCCACAGATAGCTCAAGCAATAGAAGAAAGCATTCCACAAGCTCAAATACTTTGGTGCGGAGTACATGTTCTTCGTGCAATTCTTCGCAAATCAAATAAGTTTTCTTCTCAAGAAAAATTTGAACAATTCTATAATTTGATGAAGGATTTAGTCTTCAAATTAGATGCAGAACATGAGGAAGAAGCAAATGCTGCCTATGATCAAGTTCTGGAGTTGCTCGACACAGATCCAACAGCATCTCAATACTTTAACAGACAATGGCGTTACAACATATCAAGATGGATTGCTCGTGACAGGCGTGAAGGCGACGCAACTAACAATATTGCCGAAGCTCATTTTAGAACACTCAAACATGACTATTTTCCTGATCGAAAAAATCTCAGAATTGATGATGTTATTATAGAAATTTATACAAAAGTGATACCATCTTTCGTTATCAAACTCAAAATTGATCAAAATCCAGCAGATGACCGTGTCATTAGGATCATGGAAAAAGCAACTAACGCAGAAATTGATGTAAAAAGACAAAGAAAAATCGAGAGTATTTCAATGCTCAATAGATTGCTCAATGCTGTTAGTGACGACTCAATAGATCCCACTAAAATATATCCTACCTTGAAAGTATTATTACAAAGAACTCATTTTATTTAATTTTGATTTTAATTTTAGATTAAATTATTAAATTTTAATTCTTTATTTTTTAGGATTGTTAGCTTTGTAAGATTGCTTTCTCACAAGAGAAAACAAGTATAAGGTTTAAGCTGTATGTATTAAAGTTATAAATATTTGATTTTAAAAAAAATCAAGATTTTAAACTTTAAAGGTATTAATTATGATTATCTTTCTTTAGCTTTACATGCTGTATGCTACTTTTGTCTTTGAGACATTCCATGATTTAAGTTAAGAAGCTTTAAAAAAATGTAATAAAATAAAAAAAATTTTAGTATCGATAATCTGAAATATGTTGTTTACTTAAGCCGCGAGCGAAGCGAGCGGCTTAGTTTCGTAATTTCATACAATTATTTTTCGAATTTGTTCTTTTTGTCAACCGCGAGCGAAGCGAGTGGCTTTTTATTTTTTAAATTTTTTTTCTTTCTTACTTTTTTTCCCTTACTTACAAATTTGATAGTAACTTACCAAATCTCTCTATCATATAATAATAAATTAATCCATTTTTGTTTCAAATCTGACACTTTACATTTCTGACATGTAAATCTGTCACTTTTCACTTCACCTCACTGGGCAAGTTTGTGCCCCCTCACTTCTCTTCATCTTGCAGCAATCAATAACAATTACCAATAATTTTTGATTTTGGCTATGGATACTTACTATATGGGGGGATGGATATTTGATGTGCGAAGTATCGCATGAAAGTTATCGGGCCGATTTTGAGATGTGAAATGTGTTTACGGTTTAAATTTTGAACATTACATATTTTTCAGAAAATTTAGTATATATTCTTTTATTGTCATTAGATAACATGAATATTTTGGTACAACACACATAAGCTAGAGTTTTTGTAGTTGTGTGTTTCTTCACAACTGTAAAAAATATCATAATTCGTAACTTTGGGAATTTGATTGAGTTGATTTTTGATTATTCTAATAATATTGTTGAACAAAATTGAAGTATTCAACATAAAGAGCGTATTTTAACACAATATTCTATTACAAATAGTTATATTGATAAGATACGAATTGGAATTGAACCAAAAATATATATATATATGATCTCCAAATTATAAAAACCGATCAATATCATCTAGTGGATTATGTCAATTATGGCAGTCCCAACGGGAACCGCGGTAATTTACCGGGGTTTCCGCACACCGGTTCCTTTTTTTAGGAATTTTTTAGATTAAAAAATATGCTTTGTAAATCATTTTTTGTAAATCGGCAAAAATTTGGAAATATTCTGACGACAATAAATCTGGGAATAGTATTTTAAATACGAGAACAACCTATTTAAAAGTGTTTCGCTCGATTTTGTATAATTTCAAATTTTCGCATATAGCTTTCCGTGAATTACCGTGATTTTACCGCCACATCAATAGTTTACGAAACTTTTTCGTAAATTGAGTAGTTTACTGCACTTTTTCCGTAAAATTGATTACGGGAATCCGTAAGATTACCGTACCTCACTTCTAGTTGAAAATAGCATTAGTATATAATAAATAGATATATTATCATATTTTTGATTTTGAATTACGGAAAAAGTGAGTTCAGAATTCCAATTATTATTGATTAATTATGTTAAAAAATACTATAAGGAATTAAAATACATAATGTTGAAATTTGAATTACGGAAAAAGTGAGGTGAAAGTGAAGTGAAAAAGTAAGATATTTTTTGTTGAAATAATCATAGTTGTACAATTTTGAAACTATATGTAAAGCTATAAATTGAATAAATTCAAAAAACAAAAATTGTTTATTCTTATTAATAAATTTTATTAATCAATATTTGAACAACCCGTAATTAAAATTGAATTCCTCTTAAAATTTAATCCATACGTTAATTTTTAATTTGCTCGGCGAATGCCGAGCTTCCCTACTTCTCTTGTCATTCCTTCAAAAAACTCTAATCTCATCGCACTTAAACATCATGATTTGATGTATTGTCGAGAAATCTTAGACTTGTTTTGTCATTTGATTATAGCATTTGAAAGTCATCTCGAAAATCGATTAACAAGACAATTTCCCAAACATCTACATACAAGTAGATGATGGTAAACCCATTAGAGTTGTTTTGCTATGATTCCTCCAATCTTATGATGAGAAAAATCATATCAAAACAGCTCTAATCGAACATTCTACACAGCTTAGCATCCAGCTAGTTCCAAGTAATGCAATTACAACATCAACGGCCAAAGCCTTTCAGAGTCCTTTAATCATTTCTTCTCATCTCAATGTGAAGTGGCCCCAAACGAACTACAAGCTGACGTTACAACGCATTACAACCCGGTTAATACGAGCATATACATTAGAGCTGCTTTGTTATGATCTCCCTCATCAATTGATGAGAGATCTCATTATGAAGCAGCTCCAATCGAACTAAAAACCTACATACAAATGAGTGAAAACAAACTCATTAGAGTTGTGTTGCTTTGATTTCTCTCATCAGAAGATGAGAGATACCAGAACAAAACAACTCTAATCAAACTTTCTACACAACTCAGCACTGTATCAATGCAAAGTAATGCGTCTGTATCGTTAACAAGCAAAGTTGTTTCGGGTCCTTCCATTTTGGAAGAATTCGGAACAACTTTGCAAATTGATAGTGTAAACCCATATACATGAAAGCGTGCATGCATAAAGACAGGTATTGTCAGCAATGACTACCTGCCCAGCTATGAGTGATCAGAGAATTACCATCTCAGGCTTTTTGAGAACGTTTCAGCCAGGACCCTCGTATGTTGACTGTGAGAAAGGCATCCTTTATCTGAAATAGATGCTTTTCCAACAATCAAATTCGAAGATCTTCGACGTTGTTGTAAAAAGAGAAGGAGAAGGAAAGAAGAGGAATGAGAGGAAGAAGGAAAGGAAAAGAAGAAGAAAAAAAAGAAAAAAAAGGACATATTAAATATAATGCGCACTTAATAGTGCCGAGGCGGCGGAGCCGCCGAGGCGCGATTTTTTTGACCCTATATTACCGCACGGCAATGTTTTTCTCGATTTTGTACAGCCCTAATGTCAATACATTTGTTTCTGCTCAAATTCATAATGGAATTTCCAAAAAAAAATTCGAAAAAAATAAAAATCTAGAACAAAAATACAATTTTAACATCAAAAAATGAAAAATGAAAAAATTTTGGAATTATAAAGACGTTTTATAATTGATTTAAATGAGAATGTTTGCATTCTGGTGTTCCATATTAAGTTCTGTCAAAATGTAAGCTATTCAATTCTATCGTCGGGGAAAGTATCACAAATCTATCAATTTTTTTGTAAAAGTATACAAAAACATATGGTGTTCAATTAGTTTATAATAATATAAATATTAAGATTATCCAAAATAAGAAAAACTAGGTTTTGAGAACACTTTTGAGATGATAATCAAAATATTTTGATTGAAAAATAATATATTATTTATCAGATATAGAATGGATTTTTTCAAATTTAAAAATTCTGAAAAATAAACAGTTTTGTAAAGTAAAAAAAATGAACGAAAACTCGAGACCTCGTATTCCAAATGAATGGGTAAGATATATGTATGAAAAACTTGAAAGTGGTGAGTTAACTTACGCAACAGTTTTGAAAAAAGTTCCATATTCTTATCAAAATGTTACAATTTTCAAACAAATTTCAAGAAATACTCTCAAAAAAGCATTCAAAGAAATCGGTGGTACACCAAAAATTAAAAGTGGTCCTCCACAAGAGGAATTAACTCCAGAATTAATTTTGAAGGTTCAGAATTCTTATGAAAATTACAAATGTGGGGTTCAAAAATTGTATTGGACTCTCAATATGAATCCAAAACAATTTCAAATCAGTTACAATGTAGTTATTAAGGCAGCAAAATTTCTGGGAATTTACAAAGAAAAAGATAAAAGTAATCCAAAAGCATATTATGTGGATTATGAAGCAATTCTTCCAAATACAATCTGGCATGTGGATATTCATTTTTTGAAAGAACCAGAAACTTTACCGGTTTATGGAATAATTGATGACAAAAGTCGTTATTTGTTAGCATTGAAATTGCTTCGTAACAAAAGTTCAACAGAAACTTCAAAAGTGGCAATTGCAACAGTTCAAAAATATGGAGCACCTTTCTGTTTCTGGTCAGATAACGGTAAAGAAAATGAGGGAGAGTTCACAAAATTTTTGAGTACTTATGACATTCAAATCAGAAAATCAGCTCCATACATGCCACGTCAAAATGGCAAAATTGAACGCCTCTGGCCATCACTGGACAAAAATGCTCCAAAGTCTTCAGAATTTGAGAGCATCAATCAGGAATTGGAAGAATTCAGGCAAAAATACAATGACATGCCACATGGCGCTCATCCAAAAATTGGAGTTCGACCATACACTCCAAGAGAGGTTTACAACAAATTTAAGAAATGGACCAAGGATGATAAACCGCTCTGGAAAAAATGTGTTAATAAGCAGTGGGAAGTTGAAGAGATTCCAAACTATTGAAATATTCTATATTTTTTCAAAAATTCTCATTCAAATTTGAATTTGGTTTTCAAAATTATGAATAAACATTATTTTTATTAAACTTGATTTTTAGCTCTAAAGAATCAAAAGAATTTAGCGAGAAAGAATATGCAGCTCACATAGGGGTAGATAAAGATATATCTCGAAAAAAATTGAATTTATTGTAAAGAATGAAGAAGTTCATTTTAAGATTGAGTTGATTTTCAACCAAAACGAGAGAGCATGCAGGCAAATGAAATTCGAAAAGTGAAAGGAATGACATATGCAAAAGAAAAGATTCAAATAACGCAAGCGAAATATAGATCAGTTAAAATCACAATAAAATTTCGATCTTTTCTACAGGGAACTAAAGGCTATGAGGCACTAATATATAATCAGTGCCTCATAGCCTTTAGTTCCCTACTAAAAGTGAGAAAACTTGTTCGCAATGCGAAATGATTGCGAACAAGTTTTCTCACTTCAGCGAGGGAATTGTTCCTTATGATGCATACATTATAAATATATACATCATAAGGAACAATTCCCTCTAGATAGCTGGGAAACTTTCTCTAAATAACTTATCATTTGGAGAAAGTTTCCCAGCTATCTACTGGGAACTAAAGGCTATGAGGCACTGATATATAATCAGTGCCTCATAGCCTTTAGTTTGTTATTAAAAACGAGAAAACTTGTTCGAAATGATAAACAATTGCGAACAAGTTTTCTCACTTCAGCGAGGGAATTGTTCCTTATGATGCATACATTATAAATATATACATCATAAGGAACAATTCCGTCTAGATAGCTAGGAAACTCTAAATTAACTATTAATCTTTGAGATATTTTTTATTGAGGTTAATACGTTTTTCTAAATAATTAAAATGTAAAATTTTGATTATGAACTCATCTCTAATATTTTGGCTCTTTAATATATTTGAATCATGATCTTTGAGAAGAGTTCTCAAAAGTATTCACAAAAGCTATTTTTCCTTGAAATTTAAAAATCCTGTTTATCATATATTACCGAATTCAATTCCCTACATATTTCAAAATATTCTATGAACATTTCAATTTTTGAAAAAAACATATTTTTTCCAAATATATTTATTATCATATTTCTAATAATATTTCCTAAAGCGTCACTTTTTACTTCCTCGACGATTATTTCCCTCTCAAAAAATTCAATAGCTTACATTTTGACAGAACTTAATATGTAACACTTAGATTAATGAAAAGTTGGAATTTTTTCAATAAAATTTTATTCATGAAAAAAGATGCATGAAATACAATAATAGTAATATAGATACGTTATACAACATGTTACATAAGTGATCACTATAAGCATAATAGCTTTAAACAAAATAATCATATCAAAATTTGTATCTGTAAGCAGCAAGAGTGTTATATCCTAATATTAAGTGTAACTACTTATTAGACAATGAATACAATATAATGCATTGATTAATAGGCTAAAGAAAAAAAATTATATCCTTCAATTTTGATAATCCGAAATTTTTCTTAATTAATTGAATTACATATACATTAATTTACAATTAAGTGATATCAGCGATAAACTTATATGCACGTTTAACTTTATCAGATTTCAAATGAAAACATGGATTTCATTGCATGTTTTTCAATACTAGCTCCAGAAAAATGATACAAAGATGAATAAATAGTAATGTCCCTAAAATAAGGTACAAAACAAAAAATTATCAACAATATACTTAATTTCGGCTATTATGATAAAAAGTGAATATGTCAAAAGCATTTATTCCATCATCTTGTTATCTGTACCTCACCACGGACTAATATGAAGAGAGATCAATTTCCAAAATTTTACAAAAAAGAGATTAGGCCTAATTTTTATGGCCAATCTTTATGATTTGTTATACAGATACTAGATCTACTACTCCCCAAAACAATTCATTTTTTGAATGGCCCCCTTTTTTAGGTTTTCATTTTATGAAAAATGCCAATATTATACGATTATTAATATATTTATTTTTTTGTTCTCAATAAAGGTATTCAAAAGTCAATATAAACCATTCAAAATTGAGAGGAAACTCATTGAGAGGCTCGGAATTCGAGTAGTGAGGAAGGGTAAATTTTGAGAGCCAAAATTTCAAATCCCCTCAATATTTCAAAGCCCTTCTACTTAGATTTTGTGACTACCTTATGAAATGTTTTGTCACTTTTTAAGTGTTCAAACCATCTGAAACGCTCAATGCAACCAGCATATAAATTCATTGAGGATTTCAGCAACGCCAAGCTTCTTGATATATTCGTAATCCCTAATCAGGCTTCAAAAATCATATGGGACGTCAATTACAATAATATTAAACAAATATCATCACAAATTATCGGTCTCGTTAAAAATAACAAAATAAATATTCAAATGATACATTATTTGATTGATAAATTTTCAGAAATGCGAGAAAAAGATATTGAAATATTTGCGGAACTTTATCAAGACATAACAAACCAAATTCCGTACAATATCAAACCTAAAAATAAGAGATTGGCTGATTTGTTATATTATAAAGGTCACAGATATTCAAATGATAAAGACTTTTCACCCAAAATGACACAAGAAGAAACCTTCTATATATATTCGACAGAATCTCCTTTATACTACATTTTTTGGGATGACATTAATGGTCTAAAAAGAAAATTCCCAAATTTTTCTATTGAAAAATATAAATGGGATCAAAAGCATCCTATTGACTATGCAATTAAATATGGTTCAGAATTATGTTTCAACTACTTGAAGAATTTGGGAGCCAAGTATCATGATAAATCTGCGAAATATGCAATTAAAGGCAGAAACATAAATATTTTTATGCAAATGGTAGATGATGGTGTGTCCTTTGATAATTTGTTCGATCTTGCATTGTATTATAAAAACTATGAGATTGCTGAATATATCCAAACACATTTTAAGCCAAATAATGTTTCATTAATAAGAAGTTTGGATTTCGGAAATTATGATATTGCTTCTTATTTGATTTATAATGGTGTAGATGTTAATGAAGTTTACATCCACATTCTTATTTTATTTATCATTATTTTATGACATTCATAGTCTTTTCATATCAATTAGTATTTTATTACATTATAATTCTTTTCATATCAATTAGTATTTTATTACATTATATTTTTTTTCATATCAATTACTACTTTACAAAATTATTTTGATATTAATGCAACTCCACTCAGTACTGCAATCAAAACGAATTCAATTGATATTGTTAAATTCTTAGTTGAACATGGTGCAAGTATCAACAAAGTACTTTTTTTCTATCTTTTCATATTTCTCATCTTTTTATATTCTCATTTATTTCATATATATCATTGCTTTATGGAATTATTTTTCTTTTCATATCCATCATATCTTAATTATCATATCTATTTCTGATTTATGATATTATATTTCTTTTCATATCTAGTATTGCTTTATGATATTATTTTGAAATTTATACATCCCCGTTCAGAGTTGGTATCGAATCGAATTCAATTGATTGTGTTAAATTCTTAGTTGAACATGGTGCAGATGTCAACCAGAAGTTTTTTCTTTATCTTTTCATATTTATCATCTTTTCATGTTCTCATTTGTTTCATATCTATTATTGTTTTATGGAAATATCTTTCTTTTCATATTTTTCATTGTTTTTTTGGATTCTTTTTGCTTCAAATTTTTTCTCTTTCTTTTCATATATTTCATGGCTTTATGATATTATTGTTCATTTCATATCCAACATTGCTTTGTACTATTCCTTTTATATTAATGATCGCCCTCTCTCCCTTGCAATTAAACAGAATTCAATTGAGCTTGTCAAATATTTTGTTGAACATGGTGCAGATATCAACCAGATAATATTTCATTTTCTTTTCATATCCTCAATTGTTTAATGGTATTTTCTTTATCATAATATCTATCACTTTCTTTTCATATTTATTATTGTTTTATCATTTTCTCTATTTTATCATATCTTTTATTTTTCCATGAGATTTTCTTTTCCTTCATATTTATTATCGGTATATGATATTTTCTTTCCTTTCATATTTATTATTGATACATCGCATTTTCTTTCCTTTCATATCAATCTTTGTTAAATTTGATTTTCTTTTCTTTCATATTTATCATTTCTTTATATAATTTATTTTAATTTTATATTCAGAATGTTTTTATAGAATTCATTATATTTTGATATCTATTATTGCTTTATTATATTCTTTTTAAGTGAATGAATGCCCTTTCACTCTTGCAATCAAATTAAAAGCAATTGAAATTGTACGATATTTATTTGAACATGGCGCAGATATCAACAAAGTATGTTTCCTCTATTGTTTTATTTATATCATTGATTTATGGTGTCCTTTTTTTATTTACATTTATTATTAATTTGTGATATTTTCTTTCTTTTCATATTTATCATTGCTTAATAACATTTACTATCTTTTCATATTTAACATTGTTTTATTCTATCTATTATTATATCATCTTATTCATTTTATTTTTATATTTATCATTGCGTTATGGAATTCTCTATATATTTATGATATTTTTTTGATATTAATGAATGCCCCCTCAGTTGTGCAATTCAAGCAAAGTCATTTGAGCTTATTAAGTTCTTGGTGGAACTTGGTGCAG